TGCCGCGTCTACGCAGCATGCACTCCCGTCTCCTTGTCTCTGGCCTCCCCAGGACCCTGCCCCCCCTGCCGCGCTCGCTTGCCCCGCCGTGCCTTCCTTGCGTCGAGGGCGGGCAGCTCGCCGCTCCTCACTCCTCTGAGTTTCCTCCGACCACTGCTCCTCTGCAGACTCTCCACATGGATGTGTGGGGCCCGGCCCCGATCGGTGGAACGGACCGCGAGCACTACTTCCTGCTGGTTGTTGACGACTACACACGCTACACCACTGTCTTCCCCTTGCGGCGCAAGGCGGACGTCAGCGGTGTCCTGATCCCCTGGATCCGTGCTACTCGTCTCCAGCTGCACGAGCGGTTTGAGCAGGACTTCCCAGTCCTGCGTCTGCACTCTGACAGGGGCGGTGAGTTCTCCTCTGACCTCCTTGCGGGGTTCTGTCGAGATGAGGGCATCCGCCAGACGTTCACGCTTCCGGCCTCTCCTCAGCAGAATGGGATTGCTGAGCGTCGCATTGGCTTGATCATGGAGGTTGCTCGCACCTCCATGATCCATGCGGCTGCTCCCCATTTTCTGTGGCCGTTTGCGGTCCGATACGCTGCGCATCAGCTCAACCTCTGGCCTCGTGTCTCTGCGCCAGAGACCTCGCCCACACTCCGGTGGACGGGGAAGCCTGGTGATGCGTCAGTGTTTCGGGTCTGGGGCGCGCTCTCCCTTGTTCGCGATGCCAAAGCGAGCAAGCTCTCCTCTCGCACTCTCCGCTGCGTCTTCCTTGGCTTCCCCACTGACGCCCCGCCGTGGCAGTTCTACCACCCGCCCTCGCGTCGAGTCTTCTCCTCCCAGGACGTCACTTTTGATGAGTCTGTCTGTTTCTACCAGTTACACCCGCACGCGTCCCACCCGGTTCCCTTAGCACCCCTCTTCCTGGTACCAGTCCCCCCCCCGGTAGACCCCCTCCCCCCACAGGGTCCTGCTCCCTCAGGTGTGTCTCAGGTCGACCCACCCCCCTTGGATGAGCCAGTGGAGATCTCTTCTGACTCCTTTGGCCCAGCTGAGGGGGGTGACCCAGTTGCGGACGACACGGCGGCCACTCGCCGCTCTCCACGCGTGGAGACCCCCCCGGGTTTTCCGCCTCGACCGTCTTCGCCGCCTCCGCAGCCTGCTGCTGTGGACTCTGGAGCTGGGACTACATGTGCTGAGACTGGGGGTGCTGAGACAGAGGGTGAGGGTTCTGGGGGTGCTGTGCCTTGGGTTGCTGGTTCTGGGGGTGCTGCGACTGGGGGTGCTGCGAGTCCTAGTGGCGGTGGAGTTGTGGGTGACCCTGTTGGAGGTCCTAGAGCTGGAGGTCCTCGAGGTGCTGCTGGTGCAGGAGGTACTGGAGCTACTAGTCCTCGAGGTGCTGCTGGTGCTGGAGGTACTGGAGGTGCTGCTGGTGCTGGAGGTACTGGAGCTGGAGGTACTGGAGCTGCTGGTGCTGGAGGTACTGCTGGTACTGGAGGTGCTGGGGGTACTGGAGCAGCTGGCACTGGAGGTGCTGGTGCTACTGGTGCAGGAGCTGTAGGAGCTGCTGGTACTAGAGGTGCTCGTACTAGAGGTACTGGAGCTGCCGGAGCTGGTGGTGATGCTCGTACTGGAGGTGCTACTGGAGCTGCTGACCCTGGAGGTGCTGGTGCTGCTGGTGCTGGAGGCGCTGGAGCTGGAGGTACTGGAGGTGCTGGAGCTGCTGGTCCTGGAGGTGATCGTACTAGAGGTGCTGGAGCTGATGGTCCTGGAGGTGCTCGTACTAGAGGTGCTGGAGCTGCCGGAGCAGGTGGTGCTACTGGTGCTGGAGGTGCTACTGGAGCTGCTGACCCTGGAGGTGCTGGTGCTGCTGGTGCTGGAGGCGCTGGAGCTGGAGGTACTGGAGGTGCCGGAGGTACTGCTAGTGCTGGAGGCGCTGGAGCTGGAGCTGGAGGTACTGGAGGTGCTGGAGCTGCTGGTCCTGGAGGTGCTCGTACTAGAGGTGCTGAAGATGCTGGTCCTGGAGATGCTCGTACTAGAGGTGCTGGAGCTGCCGGAGCAGGTGGTGCTACTGGTGCTGGAGGTGCTGGAGGTGCTACTGGAGCTGCTGGCACTGGAGGTGCTGGAGGTACTGCTGGTGCTAGAGGTGCTGGCGCTGCCGGAGCTCGTGGTACTGCTGGTGCTGGAGGTGCTGGTGCTACTGGTGCTGGAGGTGCTGCTGGGAGTACAGGTGGAGCTGCTCGTGCTGGAGGTACGAGAGCTGCTGGTGCTCTTTGCCACCTTCTCAGTCTTCCGCCAGGTGCTACTGACTTCCTTGTGGCAGGTACTACTCCTCCGTTACTGTTTCCACCGGCAGACCAGTCACAGCCGCAGCTGCTACCATACTCCCCACTGCCTGCTCATGCTCCCTACACTGCGGTGACACAGTCTCTGACTGAGCGTCAAGAGCCTAAGACTCATGCTTCCACCCCTGAGCGTCGAGAGCCTGAGTCCAGCTTTGACCTTGAGCCCGAGCCTAGAGCTATTGTCCGTGCTCGTGTTCCTCGTGTTCGTCGTCCGCGTGCTCCGGCTGTCCCAGGCACTCACGATATGACACTCCGTCCTTCCTCTGTTCCACAGCGTGTTGTCCTGCCGTTACCTCCTGCGTCCTCTCTTCCCGACATTGCTGACCCTCCGTCTGACCTTGCTCGTGCGTCCAGTCCCACTGTTACTCGCTTTCTTGCTACGGTGGTTCTCGTCTCCTGCTGCATCTGCCTTAGTTGCTGAGCTCGTTGACTTTGCTGCTGTGTACCGCCTAGACTACCTTGTGAGTCTTGTTTCTGACCCTGTCCCTGCCTGTCCTCCGTCCGTCGGGGGTGAGACTGCCCTTGGCTGTACTGCCCTTGGCTGTGACGTTCTTGAGGACAGGCAGGAGGAGCAGGAGTGCCTTGCGGCCGCTGCACCCCATCTCGCGACCATGCAGCTTGCCCCTGAGGGAGACCCGAATGCACTTGACATCCCCACCCCGCGCTCTTACAGAGAGGCGATTTCGGGTGAGTACTCCTCTCAGTGGCTGACAGCCATGGACGCAGAGATGGCTTCCTGGAAGTCCATAGGCACCTACGTCGACGAGGTCCCCCCACCTGGGGCGAACATCGTCAGTGGCATGTGGATTTTCAGGGTGAAGTGGCCGCCGGGTTCTCCTCCTACCTTAAAGGCATGTTACGTTGCTCGAGGCTTCGGTCAGCGTGCAGGGGTCGACTTCTTTCAGACCTTCTCCCCTACCCCGAAGATGACCACTCTTCGGGTGTTGCTGCACGTTGCAGCACAGCGCGACTACGAGCTGCACTCCCTCGACTTCGCGACAGCTTTCCTACGGGGTAGCCTTCACGAGGCCATCTGGTTGCGCCGTCCAGAGGGCTTCACTGGGTCGTTTCCTGAGGGTACCCAGTGGAGCCTACGGCGACCAGTGTACAGCCTGCGTCAGGCGCCCCGCGAGTGGCACGACACACTGAGGACGACACTTGCGGCTCTTGGGTTTGCTCCTTCGACTGCTGACCCGTCGCTGTTTCTACGCACCGACACTACTCTGCCGCCGTTCTACATCCTCGTGTACGTCGACGCCTTGGTTTTTGCTACTGCTGGCACTGAAGCACTGGCCCTAGTGAAGGCGGAGCTGCAGGAGAGACACACCTGCACTGACCTGGGTGAGCTGCGGAGCTATCTTGGCTTGCAGATCACCCGGGACAGAGCACGGCGCACCATCACCCTCACTCTGTCACACATGGTGCACCAGGTCCTTCAGCGCTTCGGCTTCTCGTGGTCCTCGCCACAGCCCACTCCTCTGTCTACCGGCCACTCGCTCTCAGCTCCACCTTCGGACGAGTCCGTAGAGCCGAGTGGTCCGTACCCAGAGCTTGTGGGTTGCTTCATGTACCTGATGACGTGCACACGACCCGACCTCGCGTACCCTCTCAGCCTTCTGGCTCGCTACGTGGCTCCTGGTAGACACCGAAAGGTGCACTTTGATGCTGCGAAGAGGGTACTGCGTTACTTGTGCAGTACATCGGGCATGGGGCTCGTGCTTGGAGGACGGAGTTCAGTGGTAGTCACAGGACACTATGACGCTTCTTGGGCCGACGACCAGGCGACTCAGCGTTCGTCACAGGGTTACACCTTCAGTCTTGGCGCTGGTTCTGTCTTGTGGAGGTCCACTCGTTGTTCTTCTGTGCTTGGTTCCAGCTGTGAGGCCGAGATCTACGATGGGGCCATGGCTGCACAGGAGCTACGCTGGCTGACCTACCTGCTGACCGACTTGGGGGAGCGGCCTCGTTCTCCTCCAGTTCTGTACGTCGACAACAAGGCAATGCTTGCCTTGTGTCGCGAGCAGAGACTGGAGCACAGAACGAAGCACATTGCTCTTCGCTACTTCCTTGCGCGTGAGCTGCAGCAGCGTGGTCAGCTGCGCCTTGCTTACGTGGCCTCTCGGGCCAACACTGCTGATGTCTTCACCAAGGCCCTTGGGTCTGGTGATCATCAGCGTTTCTGCACAGCTCTTGGGCTTGTGCCCACTCTGCCTCACCTGCTGGTTGCTTGATTTGCTCTTGTTGTACACTGATATATATCTTTATACCTGTTTGTTTACTCTTGCTAGGTTGTGATCAGTGTACTGCCTTGCTATTATAACTCTGCATGTGAACTGGCCTTGTGGCCGCTTGCTTGTGCTCAGATTGTGTGGTGTCCTTGAGATCCACCCTGAGCTTTGTTTTGCTTTGCTTGTTCTCCTGCTTGACTGGTCTTGTGACCGTCTGTTGTGTTTGCTATCTCCCACTTAGCCTATGGGGGTGTGTCAAACTGTATGTTTCTGTTCTCTCTATGCTATAGTGGGTTAGCCTACAAGGGGTACAACACTTTAGGGTTAGGTACTTGTACTCATGCATGCTGCCTAGTCCATCATTCCTGCCTGCTTATTCTAACAGTACTAACTAACAGGCACACATTGTGTTGGTTGGTTAGTGGACTGGACTCTAATCATGACTTCTCTGAGGGAGTGGCAGAACCAATAGCAGAATGAGCTGTTGGCGCAGCCACACTATCAGCAAGGGCAGTGGCCATAGCAGCAGGTGGAAAGGCAATAGTGGCAGGAGTAGTGGCAGTAGTCGCAGGTGCAGCTGAAAGTGGTGACCTATGGTTGCCCATAGCAGCATCAGTTGCAGTGGAGGCAGCAGCAAGGGGCGCAGAGGCAGCTTGAGGTGAAAGAGCTGGTGTAGGAGCGCCCTTGGGGGCATCGGTTGCAGTTGCCGCTGCAGCAGTAGCAGGAGATGTCTCGGCAGCAGGCACAGATGCAGTAGCAGCAGGTGCAGTGGCGGTAGCAGCAGGCGCAGCTTTGGCTAGTGGAGCCACAGGAATGGCAGCATGAGTTGCAGCAACAGTAGAGTCAGGAGTGGCAACAGCTGGATGCGTGGCACCCTTATCTGCAGCGCTGCTGGCAGCAGTGGTGGCCAAAGCGGGTGCAGGAACAGGAGCAGGAACAGAGATATTAGCAGCTGGAATATGACGAGGAGCGGACGCAGGAACAGCAGCCGGAGTGGAGGCGTCGCGAGCATGAAAAGCAGCAGGTGGACGCACGGGAGCCGGCGAAGGAGTAGAAGGTGTTTTGGTGGCAGCGGCGCATGTCACAGGATCAATAGCAGCTGCTCTTGCTGCCATAGGGGCATTGGTGGGAGCAGCAGCAGTGGGAGCAGCCGCACGTGAGGTGGAGGGAGGCTCAGGTGTGGTGGAGAAAGGCGGTTGGTTGGATGTGAGTGAAGTGAGGAGCGCAGTGAGAGACCGGGGGGGAGGCGGCCTTGTGGGAGAGGGAGCAGCGTGGGAGGATGGGGGAGGCGCAGGGAGTAGCGGCTGGCCCCAGCCAAAGCCGTACGGCCGGGCGACCGGGAGAAGGCCGGACGGCAAGCCACCAGAGGAAAGCAGCTGAACGAGGGAGTGGAGTGCGGTGGTGGCGGGTGGAGAAGCCTGGGGGAACGGGAAGCGCAGGGCGTGAGCAGCGGAGGGGGCGGGCATGGGCTGGGAGGCGAGGGCAGCTCGGAGGGCCGCTGCCACTATGAGCTCTGGAGCCAGCAGAGGTGCTGCCATGCCTGCTGACCCCTGCCCGCCCGCTGCCAACTGCCCTCTGCCTGCTGCTCCCCTGGCTGCCATGCCCGCCCCACTCCCTGCTGCTGCTGCCCCGGCCCGTGATGCCACCACACCGTCCTGCGCATCCCCACCCCTCCTTCTCTTCCTCCCTCGCCCACCAGGCATGCCCCCTCCTGCGCTCCTCCCTGCCACCGCGCCAACTATGCCCTCCTTCGACTCCCACTCCTCCATGCTGCTGCCCATCCCTCCAATTTCCTCCACGCTCATGCTCTCACTGCTCTCATTCCCCTCACTCCCCACACCCCCCTCCCACACCACCACGCGGGTCCTCTCCAGGCGGCGCCATGCCCGCCCCACCTCTGCCGCGCGGTGCGCCGTGAGCTGCCTGGAGAAGGGCGTGGCTGCGGCAAGGGCGGCCCACGCAGACTGCAGCTGCGGGGCGGCCTGAGCAGCAGATGCCACCCGCACGCCAGCCAGCGATGCCAGCAGGGTGCTCACTTGAGGTGGTGGGGTCACTGAGGGATGTGCAGTGACAGCTGCAGCAGTGGCCGCAGCAGCAGCAGCAGCAGTGGCATTAGCAGGTGCCGCACTTTGAGCAGCGATGGCAGGAGGGGCAGAACGAGGGAAAGCGTGAGCAGTGGCAGCAGCGTGGGGGCTCGTATGGGCACGGCGGGTGGGCAGGTCAAGGTCAGTGTCCGTGTCAAAGTCACCACCATCATTGTCCGTCATGTCACACGCACCATCACTGTCACCAGTCACGCCCCCATCCCCACCATCACTCTCCATCCCATTCCCTGCCGCCCTACGCCGCCCACCAGCACCATCGTGCCGCCCCTCTTCTATCCACTCCTCCTCGCGCACGTCAGTGAGCCGGCGGCCACTCGCCTTGATCTGAGCGCGCCTCTCCCGCTGCTCCTCTGCCACCGCCACCAGCGCTGCCACCTCCTCCTGCCGCACCTCACACCGCTCGTCCACTATCCCCCTTATCCTCGCGCTCACTCCTCCCTGCCCCTCACTCTCCTCCCCCTCCTCCCCTCCCCCTTCTTCAAATTCGTCCTCTGTCCGACCATCCTCCCCTCTCCTCGCACCCAGCCCGCCCCCTCGCCCCCTCGCCCCACCACCTCCTCCTCCCGTGCCTGCAGGGGGGTGGAATCCCCAGCGCTGCATGAACTGCTGCACCCATGCCAGGCTGCACGTGAATCCCTGACTTACCCCCACCAGAGGTGCCAGCCGCCTCGCATACTCCTGCACCGCCCGCACTGACATCTGCTGCTGCCCCGCCCCCGGCCCCCCTCTGCTCCCCACCTCGTCCCCCCTACCGCCCCCTGCAGCTCGCCTGTCCTCCTCCGTCCTCGCTATAGCCTTCCTCACTGCGAGCGCAAGAGCCTCCTCCAGGCGGGTCTCAGCGCCGCGCAGTCTGACGGCGCCCGGCCTGCCAGCGCGGGAGCGGTGCACGAGCTGCCTCCAGTCGTCCTCCCTCAGCAGCACTGCTGGCAGCGACACGTTCGTTAGCCTCATGCCGTACCTGCCATGCCGTGCCATCCCATGCCGTACCGTGCCATGCCACGCCATGCAATGCCATGCCAAGGGGGACGGACCCACAGGGAGGGGAGGTGCGAGGGGTGAAGAGGGAGAAAGTGAAACGGGTGGAGAGAGGGAGGCACGACAATGTGGATAGGAAGGCAACAAAAGCATGGGTAACACCGAGAAAGGAAAGGGAACTCTGGAGAGGAAGGGTTGGGTTGACCAATCAGAACCTGGAGGCATGAAACAGGGAGGAGTCAGCCAAGGAGTCCCACACACCTGGCGCCGACAGCGCAGGCGATGGCCTTGGAGGGGAGGGAGGGAGAAGGAGTGAATGTATATTCTCAATCAAGAGAATGTACAGATTCGGACAAGGAATCCAGCACCATGTGTGGCAGGCAGCACCACAACGCACCTGGCGCCAACAGCGCGGGCGATGGCCTTGGAGGGGAGGGAGGGAGAAGGAGTGAATGTATATTCTCAATCAAGAGAATGTACAGATTCGGACAAGGAATCCAGCACCATGTGTGGCAGGCAGCACCACAACGCACCTGGCGCCAACAGCGCGGGCGATGGCCTTGGAGGGGAGGGAGGGAGAAGGAGTGAATGTATATTCTCAATCAAGAGAATGTACAGATTCGGACAAGGAATCCAGCACCATGTGTGGCAGGCAGCACCACAACGCACCTGGCGCCAACAGCGCGGGCGATGGCCTTGGAGGGGAGGGAGGGAGAAGGAGTGAATGTATATTCTCAATCAAGAGAATGTACAGATTCGGACAAGGAATCCAGCACCATGTGTGGCAGGCAGCACCACAACGCACCTGGCGCCAACAGCGCGGGCGATGGCCTTGGAGGGGAGGGAGGGAGAAGGAGTGAATGTATATTCTCAATCAAGAGAATGTACAGATTCGGACAAGGAATCCAGCACCATGTGTGGCAGGCAGCACCACAACGCACCTGGCGCCAACAGCGCGGGCGATGGCCTTGGAGGGGAGGGAGGGGAGGGCGCGGGCGAGGGCGCACATGGCGAGCTTCACAGCGGGCGGCACCACCGTGTGGCGCCACCGCCGCTGCCTGCCGCCCGCCCCCTCGCCCGTGCGCCCCTGCGACTGCCCCGGCGTGCGTCTCTCAGCAGCCCACTGCTCCGCCAGCCGCTGCAGGCGGTCCAGCGGGCCCTCCTGCTGCTCCTCTCCCCCCCCTGCCCGCCCTGCACGCCCGGCACCAGCACCAGCAGCAGCAGCAGCAGGGCGGTCAGGGTGCAGTGTATGGCGCCCCTCCTCCCTCTCCTCGTCCGTCCCTCCACCGTCACTGCTCTGCCCTTCCGTGGTGTTTCCATCTGTCGTGTTACCATCAGTGGTGCTACCATCAATTGACATCTCTCCCCCATCTCCTCTCTCCTTCCCCTTCTTCTTCCCACCGCCCCGCTCCACCTGCTTGCCCCAGTTACTCCCCAGCCCGTGCCGCAGCAGCGCCTTGCGAGCCCAGTGGTAGCTATACCGGAACCCCTCCTTCACGCCCATCTGCGGCCCCACCTGCCGCGCATACTCCAGGATATCATCCCACCGCAGGGCCTCTCGCCCGTACCGCGCCTCCATCGCCCTCACCCATGCGGCTACGGCCGCCTGCACGTGGGGGTGGGCGCCGCTGCTGTGGCGGATGAGGGTGGCGCCGTGGGCGGGCAGGGCGAGGTACACGTGGCTCTTCCTCAGGATGCGCCTCACCGCCGCCACGTCCAGCGCCGCCACTCCCGCCGCCTCCACGCCCGCCGCCGCAACCCCCCCCGCTGCCAAGCTCGCTGCCCTGCCAGCAGCAGTGGTGGCGGAGGGAGGGGCGGTGCCTTGAGGCTGGCGGGCGGCAGCAGCGAAGGCGCGGTGCACGAGGCGGTGGATGTCTTTGGGCGGCATGTCGGGGCGGGCAGCCCTCAGCATGCAGATGACTCGCTTCACCCGCAGACTGATGGCCGCCCGGTGCTTGCCCTTCCCGCCCGGCGCCCGCTTCTCCCTCCCTGCAGCACGCTGCCTCTCCACGTGCCGCCTACCACCATCACCACCATCACTACCATCACCACCATCACCACCATCACCACCGTCACCACCATCACCACCATCACCACCATCACCACCATTACCACCATCACCACCATCACCACCATCACTACCATCACCACCGTGGGCGTGGCCAGCACTGGAGTCATCGCTGGGGGCGTCCAGGCGGAGGTCTCCTGCTGCTGCCACTGCCGCCTCCACATCCACCAACGCCCCCCCCACTGCCGCTGCTGTTGCTGCTGCTGCACCCCTCACCGCTGCCCCTGCTGGCCGCGCTGTCCGTCTGACTCCCTCTGCTGCCAATGTGCGTGCTACATCATCCGAGTCACACCCACCTGCTCCCTGCATGCCGCCACCCGCCTGCTCCCCGTCCACGCCAGCCTCTGCCAGTGCCAGCGCCAGCAGCTCTCGACTCGGCTGCACCGCGCGTGCCGCCTTGCCTGCTGCCTTCTTCCTCGCCCGATCCCTTGCTGCGCCTCTTGCCGTGCCTGCCAGCAACTCTACTCCTCCTGCCCATCCACCCGCCTCTGCTGCCGCCTCTCCTCCATCGCCCTCCTCGCCTGCACCCCCACCTGCCTGCTCCCTGCCCTGCTGCGTCTGCTCCTCTGACCCGCCCTCGCCCCTCCGCCGCCGCTGCGGCCTGTCGCCCCTCTCACCCCCCTCGCCCCTCTCCCCCCCCTCACCGCCCTCTAGGTCGATCACCTCCCTGCCAGCAGTCAGTGACGTCTCCCGTCCCACCACCCTCATCCCTCCCTTCCACGCACCTCCCCTCCCACGCCCCCTTCCCACTACTCCCCGCCCTCCCCTCCCTCCCCTCCCTCTCCTCCCTCCCCTTCCTCCCCTCCCACCCCCACCCCTTCCATCCTCCTCACCCTCGTCCTCATCCTCCTCCTCACTGCCCTCCTCATCTCCCTCTTCCCCCTCCTCCCCCTCCCCCTCCCCCTCCCCCTCGTCCGCATCATCACCATCCGTGCGCGCCACCAGGATCTGAGCGCCAAAGATCTCATCAGCCAGCTCCACCAATGACGGCTCAGCACTGCCCGCAGCAGCAGCAGCAGCAGCGGCGGGGTCGTCATTGAAATACGCCTCCCTCTCCTCCTCCAGATGCCGCTTTGAGAACCCCCACCGCTCCTGGAAGCGACACGCCCACCCAATGCTGTACCTGCAAGGGCAGGGGCGAGGGTAGGCTCACTGGAAAGTGTTGAGAGACGCGGCAGTAAGGGGAGAGGCGAGGGACAGATGGAGCAGAGGAAGCAGCAAGCGAAGGACACATGGCACAGTACCCCGCCTCATGGCACAGTACCCCGCCTCATGGCACAGTACCCCGCCTCATGGCACAGTACCCCGCCTGCCCTGCCATCAACCCTGGCAGCACCTGAAGGAGGGCGACACCCCAAACGACGGGCCCAGCTGGCGGCCCTTGGCGCAGATCTGCTGAAGCTGCACCTTGGTGGCGCCGGGGCCGCCCTTCATGTCCCGCAGCCACGCCACGAGCGCCTCCTCCAGCGCCATGCTCTCCGGCGCGCGCACTCGCTTGCTGCTGCGCTGCGCCAAGGTGGAGCTCCAGTGGGGCGCCTTGGTGAGGATGCGGCGCACGTGGGAGGGGATGAGGCGCATGTCGGGGTACTTGGCGCGGCACACTCGCATGATGCCGCCCACCGTGATGCCGGGGCGGAGGCGCCGCAGCTCACAGATGTCGCGCTTCACACTCACGTCCATGTGCTTGCGCCGCCCGCTCCTGCTCCCCCCCCCCGCCTCCCCCGCCTCCCCCGCCTCCCCCGCCTCCCCCGCCACGCCGCCTACTGCCGCCAGCGCCAGCGCCTGCCTCTTCCAACTCACCTGCGCCTCCGCCTGCTGCTGCCGCTGCCGCTGCTGCTGCGGTGGGCACATGAGAGGCATCCGGTGTGTGAAGGGCAGGTGCTGTGCCTCGTGGTGCTGCAGCAGGCGGGTGGTGAGGCAGCATGAGATCAAGGCCGTCTCCTGCAGCACCGCCTGCTGCCCCGTCACCAACTCCACCCATGGAAGCAGCACCCCCAACAGCCACCCCGCCAGCACCAACATGTGCAGCTGCAGCAGCAGTGGCGGCAGAGGCTTGTCTGAGGGCCTCACGAGCAGCAGCCAGCCCAGCAGCATACCCCACCTCATAGTCCTCCTCCCCCTCCCCTCCCTCTCCCCCCCACTCCTCCCCTCCCTCTCCCCCCCACTCCTCCCCTCCCTCTCCTTCCCATTCCTCCTCTGCCGCTCCGCCACCGTCCCCCTCGTACCACTCCCCCCAAGCCCCATCCCCCCCATCCTCCCCACCCACACCCACATCGTTGCGCCCAAGCTCCTCCCCACCACCACCTGCTCCTCCGCCAAGCTGCCACTCCGCCCGCCCACCCTCCACCCACCCGCCTGCCGCAACATCAAACTGCCCCTCGCCGCCCCCTCCCCCCTGCTGCCCTTGCTGCTCATACTGACGCTGCTGCTGCTGCCATTGCTCCTCCTCCACCCGCCGCTGCTGCTGCGGCAGGCGGTGCATTCTCGCTGTGCCCGCCATCTGCTGCCGTGCGTGTGCCTCCTCGCCCCCCACCCCCCACGCCATCTCCACTCTACTACCCCTCGCTGCACCTCCGTACTCCTCCTGCTGCCCTCCCACTGCTCCCAATGTCTCTCCACCACTCACCCGCCCATCGAGGTACCCCATTCGCCCGCCCGCATCCCACCCCCTGCCAGCGTTCCCCCCTCTCATCCGCGCATTCCCTCGCGCGCCCGCCCCCGTCCATTCCTGTCCGCGCGCCACACCTGCGCCCCTCCCTCCGCGCGCCACCACCCCCCGCCCGCGACTGCCTTCCGCTTGCCCCGTTTCACCCTCCATTCTCCCCCTCCCCGCGCCCCTGCCTCCCCTGCGGCGGGATACGCGCCCCTCCGCGCCTCCCCCTGTCCATCCCTCCGCTGCATTCGCTGCTTCCACTCCTCCGCCCACCGTTCCCACTCCTCCGCCCGTCTCTCCGCCCTCCCACGCTGCCACTGCCGCCTCGCGCACGCTTGCGCCAACCTCCGCGTCCTCCCCCAAGCCCCATCCCGTTCCCCCCGCCGCGAGTCCTCCTGCTCCCACATAGCTGCCCTCCGCGCCCCCACCAGTCGCCCACCACGCCCCTGCAGTCCCGTCCGCCACCCCGCCCACCGCCTCCCCCCTCGCACTGCCTCTCCTCCCTCTTGCGCCTCCCCCGCTTTTCCCCCTCCGTGCCCCCTTTCCACCTCTCCCCCTCCCTCCTCCGCCTGGCTCCATCCAGCGCGAAGAGCGCCGCGAACTGACGCGTGGCGTTCAGCCACTGGCTGGGCTACGCGCGGCGAAGAGAATGCAGCTGCCGCGGCTAGGCGGCAAGAACGCGCGGTCGCATGGCCTCTACTACTCGCGTGAGGCGGCTTTAGAATAACTTGCGAGCGACGCCTGCCGCGCGCCCGCTGGCCTAGCTGCACGGTCGCGCGGCGCAACGCGCGTGGCGGCGTGAACGACGGCGGCGACACACAACCGGGGAAAGCTAGGTAGTGTGAAGCTGGTGGGAAAAGGGGACGCGGGTGGTGCGGAGCTGGTGGGTTATGTACGCCTGTGGTCTAGCGGGGCGGTATGATTGAGGAAGTCGCGGGTGAGCTAACTGCGGAGCGGAGGGTGCGCGTCGGAAGAAGAAATGAACGCGCGAAATTTGAGAGGTGAAATGAAGGGGACTTCATTTCGGAGGAAATGACGAATCACCCTGTTTGTTTGTTTCCAATTCCTTTCGGCAGTGGTTTTGACAGCGCAACGCTTTGTGATCGCGACCAATTCCTTGGGTCATATTATTTTGCCATTTCCCCTTTTTGAGTCCAAAATACATATTGGTTTTGTTTTACAGGATATCTAAAATCATCTCGTCGCGTCCATCGCAAAAGCGCAGCTCGGGACCAAAAAACAAATACCCTCTTGGAAGGCATGCCACGTAAAGGGCATCAACCCTAAACACCATGAGGCAAGGTGTTTAGGGTTCATGCCTCCCAAATGGCTTGTCATCCGAGTGGTTTTAGTTTTGCCACTGGCCCCTATACTGAAACCAGGTAGACTTCGTAATTGCCCTTTTATACATCTGGTCACGAAAAATAGGAAATAACGAGATCGACTGCCCGTGGGAATCGGACGCGATCGCGGAGCGGGTTGCTGTCAAAACCACTGCCCTTTGGAATTGGAAACAAGGAATCACCGTGGTCCGTCATTTCCTCTTCATTTCGTGTCAGAAACGTGCAAAAGGAAAACATCCGCTTTACTGAGTGGGGACGGGGGAAAGTAAAACGAAGCAGCTCAGAAGCAGGATGGCATGAGATTTTTCTAACACAAACCTGCAATACTACAGAAAATGTATGGTAGTAATAAGAATCTCAATAGGTTATGTATAGGAGCTGACATACTCTTCTAGTGTACCCCGGTCCCCTTTGAGACCGTCGGCATCGATCGGTGTTGGAAAATTGCCGACAGTTTAGGGAACGGTTAGATTGGATCCATTGTCCACACTCTGCTGGTCCACGGCCGTTACTTCATATAATAAATATGTATACAAAATGTAGTTGAACATAAGAACGAAAGAGAGGGAAAGGGTAGGATTGATAAATGGGAGAGTGAGTGTGTGATGGAATGGGATGACACCCGAAAATGTAAGAGCACAAGCCTACTAAAATTCCCTAACACCCTATATAGCCTCTACACTCGCATATCCACCAGGTAGGGCGCATCCGCCTACGGAGCGTCCCTTCCCACATCCTGCTCGATATCCTCCCGCTCCACCCAAACAACGTCCAGGCCTCTCATCATTGGCACCGTATGTAAACGGATCACGCGTACATGGGCTTGCTCCAAAGCCACCGTAGTGGCAACCCTAAGTTATCGGAGCAAATACGTATAGAATCCCTTTCCAGTTACCCCCCATCCCTCAAGCAATGTGTCGTTCTCCGTAGTCACAACCTCACCTGACCCTTCACCTATTCTGTCCACCACGAACTTAACCGCATCATGGACTCGTGAAGGTGCGTACTGATGCTTGCAGTGGAGGGCTTGATGATGATCAGATGGACCAGCAAACTTGACCCCACAAACACACTTGCCAGCAACCATCAGGTGCTGGATAGGGAGGCCCAGACGCATGGCGGCACATATGCTGCACTCAGTTGTGATGAAGTAGCATCGTCATGAGAAGGAACGACAGAGACCCACACTCCCGCCCCTGAGCCCCAAAGGGATGTCAAACGGGCCAAGGTGGCATCATCGTCCGTTCCGTCCTAATTCCTCTTATTTATATTTCCTATTTTAATTCCGCACTACTTTTCCTATTCGTTTACTTTCCTATTTCTTATTTTGGTTATGTTCATCGAATATGTTGTGTGTGCACCGTTTCTATAATTATCTTGCACTATCTCGCGTAACCTTGCGTGTGCGTGGCTTCGGGAAGGCCCTATTTTTGTCGGTTCTAGAGCATTGATACTTTCTAGTAACATCCTGGTTACCTGCCTTGTATCGTGCCTATATATAGTCTCGTAGTTGTACCCAGGTCGATTATCGAATTACAAAGTGAAGTCTCGATCCTCTCACGTCGTGGGCCATGACTCGAAGCGACTGCAGGGAGACTCTCAACCGCTCGTCCACGGTGTTGCGTAAGGAAAGGCACGAGCGGGGGGTCAGCGGTACACAAAGCCGGGGACGGCACCTCTTGCCAGACCGGCTATGGGAGTAGCACCACTTCTCCCGCGAACTAGGGATCCAGCAAGGTCGTAGCCTCAGGCGTGCAAAAAAACTCCTCAAACATCCACTCCTCTCCTACAACCCCCGCCCGAGCAACATTGCTCGATCGCTGGCGCCAACAGCAAGCGTACGACAAAGGACTGCAAATCTAATGCCAAAACCTCCCAATATGGCAGGAAGGTGCGGCTACATGCGAGCCATCTGCAACTTCCCCGCATCATGATCCCAGCTACTGGGAGCAAACTGTTGCTCAAAATAATCACCGAGGCATGTGCAGTGGCCTTGAAAAGCCTCCACTACCCCTGGTCGAAAGGGTAGTGTCCGCATCATATAAATTAGGGCCGCGAATACCGCGATCGCCAGCATATGAGACCCAAAATGTGGGTGGTCAAGTAGGGGAAGCCATGGGACAGGTGCATGCAGCTGCGTCAAGCAGTCTCGCAAGCGGACCACCTCCAAGTCCTCCTCCCCAATGGGGACACCTACTACGGTGAGCCCTGTCCAGGTTTGTTGCGTACCCAGCGAAAGTGCATCATCCCTCTCCCTCCTGGTCCCCACCATGCTCCCATAGTTTGAAATTGTGCAGCTGCACCTACAAACCAAGGCCAACAAGTCGCTCCCGCAAGACCTCATAGGCTGCCAACACCCGCTCCTTGGGCCCAAGATGACCAGCTGTTGTGTGAAATAAGGAAAAAAAAAAAAAAACCAAGGGATCCCTTTGCTTAGAACCCTGCTCCGAATCCAAAGCCTCGATGAAAGGGCCTACACAGAGGTAAAGGTGGCTAGAGTAGCATAGAAGACGCGCAGAAACGGAATCAATCCCGCAAAACATCTCTTGCCGGTGGAAAGGGTTTAGGCTTTAAGGTTCGCCACGTCAATTGAAGCGCACACTACGATGGGTTGGTAGAGATAGCGGAGCAAAAGGCGTGTGCCAGGACTTCCACTCCCGACTTGGACCCGACTCTAAGGTGATTATACGGAGAGAATTGTTAGAATCTAGCAGCAGGAATGATTGAACTATCAAAGAGTTGGGTACAAGTATGAAACCCTAAAAGGGGCTGTACCCCATATTGGCTACCCCACTATAGCCTACACATATATAGCATGCATATACTTTGACACACCCCCATAGGCAAAGTGGGGGAGAGCAAGGGGTCACAAGACCAGTCAAGAGAAGCAAAGCAAGCTCAGGGTGGATCACAACGTCACCACACACACTGAGCACAAGCAAAGGGCCACAAGGCCAGTTCACATGCAGGGGTATCTATGCAACAACAACAGCACAGTGATCTCTACCTAGCAGAGCAAGCATGCAGGTATATATAGATCACAGTACAAGCAAAGTCTACAGCAATTGAGGAAACGTGGGCACAAGGCCTAACAGAGTGCAGAAACGCTGATGATCACCAGACGGAAGCGCCTTGGTGAATATATCAGCAGTATTGGCCCGAGTGGCCACGTGAGCAAGACGAAGCTGACCACGCTGCTGCAACTCTCGAGCCAGGAAGTAACGCAGAGCGATGTGCTTCGTTCTGTGCTCCAGTCTGTGCTCTTGACACAAGGCAATGGCGGCCTTGTTGTCGACGTACAGCACTGGAGGAGAACGAGGCCGCTCTCCCAAGTCGGTCAGCAGGTAGGTGAGCCAGCGTAACTCCTGTGCAGCCATGGCTGTGGCGTAGATCTCAGCCTCACAATTGGAGCTGAGAACTGAAGACGAGCGTGTAGAACGCCAAGAAACCGAACCAGAGCCAAGGCTGAAGGTGTAACCCTGTGACGACCGCTGCGTAGCCTGGTCGTCAACCCAAGAAGCGTCTGAGTGGCCAGTGAGGACAACGTCGCTCCGTCCTCCAAGCACGAGCCCCATGCCCGATGTACTGCACAAGTAGCGTAGTACCCACTTAGCAGCATCCATGTGCACCTTTCGGTGCCGACCGGGAGCCACGTAGCAAGCCAGAAGGCCAAGAGGGTACGCAAGGCCAGGACGAGTGCAGGTCATCAGGTACATGAGGCAGCCCACTAGCTCTGGGTAAGGACCACTCGGCTCTACGGACTCGTCTGAAGGTGGAGCTGAGAGCGAGTGACCTGTAGCCAGAGGAGTGGCCTGTGCCGAGGACCAGGTGAAGCCGAAGCGCTGAAGAACCTGCTGCACCATGTGTGACTGAGTCAGTGTGATGGTGCGGCGTGCTCTGTCCCGGGTGATCCGCAAGCCAAGATAGCTTGTCAGCCCACCCAGGTCTGTGCACGTGTGTCTCTTCTGCAGCTCCGACTTCACCAGGGCGAGAGCCTCAGTGTCAGCAGTGGCAAAGACCAAGTCGTCGACGTACACGAGGATGTAGAACGGCGGCAGCGAAGTGTCGGTGCGCAGAAACAGCGACGGGTCAGCAGTCGACGGAGCAAACCCAAGAGCCGCAAGTGTCGTCCTCAGTGTGTCGTGCCACACACGTGGCGCCTGGCGGAGACCGTAGACCGGCCGCCTGAGGCTCCACTGGGTACCAGGAGGGAACGACCCAGTGAAGCCAGGTGGG